TAACATGCAGTATTGATGGATCGTGATCCATGAACCAATTAGAACAGATCTGACAGGTTGAGAAGCGGCCATTTGTAATAGCAATTGAGAAAAAAGAGTGTGACGTTCGTAATTTTGAAGTTTGCTGTTTTTGTTTTGCTTCTTTCTTTATGTGTATTTTTTCGGTGGTTTATTCAGAGCTTTTAAGCGATTTTCAATAAATTTTACGTGCAAATATAACAAAAATAAAGTGCGCGGTTATTGGTTGAAAAAACACATACAAAAATAATAAATTGGTTGGCACAAACATGTGCTACAAAATTGCTTGAATTTTTTCTTTATACTTCGCCTTCATATTCTTCGTTTACTTTTCAAAGAAAATAACATGGCGCCGAAATTACAAACGTCAGCCAGAATATTACTTTTTTTTTGCTTCATCTTGTCAGATCTTGTGTAGTTGGATCATGATCGTGATCCATATCGCAAAATTTCTAAGGGCCCTGTCACACAGTCAGTATTTATTGACGTGATCCATGTATCGCGATATTTATTGACGGTGTAGCATGCAGTATTGATGGATCGTGATCCATATCGCAAAATTTTCAAAAAAATTTAAATCTGGAGCGCGGATCGCAATACCGTCAATAAATATTGAACGTGTAGGACTTTCAAAACGCGATCCGTACATTTCGTCAGTACATATTTTACTCTCATAATGCAAACATCGAAAGCGTATTCGCTCTGCCTTCGCTCTCGATTTTTAAAACGTTTCAAAAAAAACTGAAAAAGTTATAATTAACATTGGAAATTTTAAAATAATTGTGGAATGCATTATCTGTAAATTATATGTACAAAATACAAAGGCATACCTCAAGAATACGGTCCCTTGAGCTAGAGAAAAAAGAAAACGTGGACGCGGTGCGCCCCTTTCTGCTGAGTTTAATGGTTAACTTTTTTTTTTTGCAAACTGACAGTGGCGGCGCTAGGGGGTGCTAAACGTGGAATTTCCAACATTTCCAAAAGCTTATATTTTGAACCGATTCTCAAAATATCGACACAGCTGGAAAGGTAATTGAAGGACCTTTCATTCAATATATATATCTATGTGTATAATGCAGACATATTTTGAGAAAAAGTAAACAAACGAAATTATGGCAATTTTTTTAATAAAAATTTATGTTTTTCGTAAAAAGAAAAACGTAATTAACTATATTAACAAATATGTTTATCGGAAAGACCATCAAAATACCTTTAATTTGGCGTATAATTTTATATAGTTGGGTTTAAGTACAACTACCAGCAGTGCAATAAAACAACTGTATTATTGTTATATGCTATTAATTTAGGTAGTAGTGCACTTTAGCGGAACCAGGTCAAAATGGACGGAAAAAGTTCGAGAGTGGTATCAATCGACGTGTCTTAACGCCAATAATAACAATCCGAGACCGGAAACTAACATTTTTAATTCATTAAAGAGTTATTTGCAAAAAAAAAGACTTGCACTTTCCGCACTATGTTTTAAGGAATTTCACGCAAATGAATGGAATAAATGAACTCAATTTACCACGTATTTATTAGTTTTTATAGTTATAGAAAGGAGAAATCTACGTAGTGAGGGTTATAATCCCTAAGCGCGGCCGAAGGCCGCCTACGCAGAAAGGAATTCTACGCAAAAATACTGTGGATAGCGTAGCTTGATTAATTATACATTTAATTCTACAACTCATTCTTATAACAAATAAGGTGATTAAAAAAAAATGGTTTGTATATATTTCTTTAGTATTTTATTTAATTTTAATTCAATTTTTGTAAAAACCGAAGAGCGTAAGATTTTCTATCGCGCGATTTTTTATTCCAAATTTTCGCCTGCGGCGCTTTTCCTTTTTCATATAGAACTATATTTTTATATCTATTTAGTCTAGTCCACAAGAATTTTTTCCTACAAGTCATATATCAAATTAACGGTATTTTTGTGCTCTTTCTGATAAACATATGTGTTAATATAGTTAATTACGTATTTTTTTTTTAAGAAAAACATACATTTTTATAAAAAATTGCCATAATTTCGTTTTTGACCTTTTCTCGCAATGTGTATACATTATATACATATATATATGGCCTATCGAATGAAAGGCCCTTCAATCACCTTTCCAACTGTGACCATATTTAGAAAATCGGTTCAATAGTTATATATTATATAAGCTTTTGAAAATGTAGAAAATTCCACGTTTAGCCCCCCTTATCGCCGCCCCTGTCAATTTGCACCAAAAAAAAATGCCGTTAAAATCCGGAAAAAGGGGCGTTCCAATACAAATATTTTCTTGCGTCATAATAAGCGTTCAGCACAAAAATTATGCAAATACTGACGCGATAAATATCGAACATGTAGCATTCGTGCGCGATCCATCAATCCATCAGTATGGATCGCGATCTAAATATCGTTATAATTACTGACCGTGTAACAGGGCCCGTTGAGAAGCAGCATGATGCCATAGTGGCGTTCCAGCAGCAGTACGAATAGCAGGAATTTACAGGATTTTACAGGAAGCTGTTCCCGCACGACACCTTGCATAAGGTTTATTAATGGCGAAAACAGCTGTTCCTGTAAATCCTGCAAAACCTGCTATTCGTACTGCTGCTGGAATGCAACTAATAATACAAGGTGTTTAGTACATCATGTATTACATCGTGTATCATTGCATCATGGAGAAGCAGCCATTTGTAATAGCAGTTGAGAAAAAAGTGTGTGACGTTCTTAATTTTAAAGTTTGCTATTTCTGTTTTGCTTGCTTCTTTATGTGTATTTTGTCGGTGGTTTATTTCGGTGATTTTTAAGCGATTTTCAATAAACTTTTGATGCAAATGTAATTAAAATGAAGTGCGCGGTGATTGGTTGCAAAAACACGTACAAAAATAATAAATTGGTTAGCACAAATAATTGCTTGCATTTTTTTCTTTATGCTTCGTCTTCATATTCTTTGTTTGCTTTTCAGAGAAAATAACATAGCGCCGAACAAGGCGTATTCAATAAGATGGTATCGGTATGCCAATAACAAAATGTACATGTATTTTGTTTTTGCTTTTGCGGCGAGGACTGTCAAAAATTTCATACGAAGTATGTGAAAGAGAACAGAAGACGATACGCAATCAACTGCTCCAACCAATCAACAACAGCCATTTGACATATGAAGCCGTGAGGCGAAGAAAAATGAAAGGGTGCTGCTATCACCTCTTAAATACGCATTGGCGCCGAAATTACAAACGCCAGCCAGAAAATTACTTTTTTTTGCTTCATCTTGTCAGATCTTGCGTATTTGGATCAAAGAACGTAGATAAAAAGAAGGGACAACTCGTTATAATTGTAGCGAAAGTGCGCGACAGAACGTAGATAACAAGAAGGGACAACTCGTTATCCAATCAAAAAACGCACTAGGGCAAAAGAGAAGGCACGCCCCTATTGCGCACTTTCGCCACAATTATAACGAGTTGTCCCTTCTTGTTATCTACGTTCTTTGATCCAACTACGCAAGATCTGACAACTTCAACTTGGTAACTTTTTCGATTCAGTCCTACATGTAACACAGGTCAAAAGAAGTTCTGGTTCCACTTTAGGAAGTGGGCCGTAAGCGTTTCCTCTTATCATATTAAATGTGGCAACACTGAACTCATGTAATTAAAATATAGCCACCTAAAAGTCTACACTACGTTGCTTATGCATTTGACAGACTTTTCGTTTATTTTCGGACAGCCAGATACGGCAGCTTATTCATATTATAGTTAGCCATGGTGAAATGAACTGAAGGTGGCGCATTCCCGAAACCGCTACTTT